TCCCCAACCTAGAGAAAGAGGTGCTCATTAAGATATGAGAAGTATATGGAATGCCAAATAGAAAAGGCTAGAAAAGAAATTCCCTGCAGCACATAATAACCAAAATCCTAAACACTCAGACCACAGGAAGGGTATTAAAAGCTGCAAGTGAAAAGGATGAAATAACATATAAAGACAGGCCCGTTAGAATTACACCTGACTCCTACGTGGAGACTCTGAAAGCCAGGAGGACCAGGCTGTGTTCTACAGTCTGAGAGATCACAGGTGCTGGCCCAGAGTATTACACCCAGAAAAAACATTTCACGTAAAGTAAGACAGTCTATGATAAAACAAATTTAAACAGTTTTCTATCTACCAATCCAGCCCTACTGAAGGTCCTAGAAGGAAAAACTTCAGTCAGAAGAGGCCAGGCTTAATCCCAGCACTCGGGAGACAGAGGCAGGCAGATCTCTGTGAGTTCGAGGCCAGGCTGGACCGACAGCCTCCAGAACAATACAGAGAAACCCTGTCTCGTAAAAAAACAAAAAAAAAAAAAAAAAAAAAAAAAAAAGAAGAGGCCAGGCACACTCAAGAAGACATGGAATAAATAATACCAGAAGAGTAAATTAAAAGAGGGGAAAAACCCACACAGAACAATGAAATAACAGAATCAGTAAACACTGTTCATTAGTAACTCTCAAATATTAAAATTCCCCAATAAGATTGGATTAGAAGGCAGATCCGTCTTTCTTCTGCATCCAAGAAACACACCTCACCATCTACTCAAGGTAAAAGGATGGGAAAAGTTATTCCAAGCAAATGAACCTAAGAAGCAAACAGGTGTAGTCATTTTATTATCTGACAAATAAGACTTTAAACAAAAACTAATCAGAGGAGACAGGGAAGGACACTCCACAAGAGGATATTGCAGCCCTAAACATTTATACATCAACTACAAGGACATGCAAGTTCATAGAACAAACAAACAAACAATTACTGCAGCTAGAATCCTATAGTGGGTGACTTCAGCACCCAATTCTCACCAATAGGTAGGTCATCCAGACAAAACTAAACAGAAATACAGGAGCCAACAGACGTTTTAAACCACATGGACCTAATCGGTATTTACAGAACATTTTACCCAAGCACACACACACAAAATTCCCTTCTACTCTGCACCTCATGGAACTTTCTCCAAAACTTGGACACAAAGCAAGCCTCCGCAAATACAAGAAAACTGAATAATACCCTGCACCCTTTCTGACCACCGTGGATTAAAGCTGGATATTATTAACACAAGAGACTACAGAAGGCTTACAAACTCAGGGAAGCTGAAGAGCTCGCTACTGAATGAAATGTGAGTCAAGACAGAAATCAAGGAGGAAATTAAAAAAACAAAAACAAAAACCAGCTGGACATTGGTGGTGCACCCCTTTAATCCCAGGACTCGGGAGGCAGAGACAGGTGGATCTCTGTGAGTTCCAGGCCAGCCTGGTCTACAGAGTGAGTTCTAGGACAGCTTCCAAAATAATACAGAGAAACCCTGTCTCGAAAAACTAAACCAAACCAAAAAAACAACAATAACAACAAAAAACAACCAAAAACCTCTTTTGAATTGAATGAAAATGAAAACACAACATAGTCCAACCTATGGGACATAGTGAAGACAGTTTTAAGAGGCAAGTTCATAGCACGAAGTGCCTACATAAAAAAAAATTGGAGCGATCCCATGTTAACAACTTAATAGTACACCTGAAAGATCTAGAACAGAGAGAAGAACTTACATCTAAAAGGAGTAGATGACAAGAAACAATCGTACTCGGGGCTGGTATCAATAAAATAGAAACAAAATCAGTACAGAGAATCAATGAAATAAAGAGATGGTTCTTTGAGAAAAATCAGTGAAGTTGATTTTAAAAATTAACAAAGTCAGAGACAAAAGGGGGACATAACAACAGACACCAAGGGAATTCAGAGAATCAGAACCATCAGGACATACTTTAAAAATCTGTACCCCACCAAACTGGAAAACCTAAAAGAAATGTATATATCTCCCACCAATGTTAAACCAAGGTCAGATAAGCAATTTAAACAGACTCATAACCCCTGGTGAACAAGAAAGGTAATTAAAAGTATTCCTAACCCCCTCCCCCAAAAGCCCAGGGCAAGAATGGATTCAGCAAAGAATTCTATCAGAACTTCAAAGAAGATAAACATCACTGCTCCTCATATTGGAAACAGAAGGAACACTGCCTTTTTTTTTTTTTTAAATGAGGCCACAATTATACTGACACCTAACCCAAAGACCCAACAAAAAAAAAATTAAACAACAGATTTCTCTTATGGACATAGATGCAAAATTTCTCAATAAAATACTTGCAGACCAAATCTAAGAACACATAAAAACGATTACCCACCATGGACAGACAGAGGTGACCTGTGCACCAGCGACACAGACGTCGTGTGAGTGAGCCAGCAGCCATCGCTCTCAGAGGTGACATGGGACCCACATCTGACCCTGCCCGGATGGCCAGGGGTCTGAAACTGGATAGACCGTGGGCTTAGGGGAAAACCAAGTCCTACTGTTCCACTAAAAGACCAGAGCAATGAAATGACTCCTTATGGCATTCGGCCACACCCGTAGATCTGCTGCTCTGTTCGGCCGTCATCAGAAGTGGGAGCTCACACGGAGACCAACGACTGAACAGCGTGCAGAAGCGTGGGAGACTCTGAGCTCTCAGTCATAGATCAGAGGTGTCCATCAAACTCCCCTCTCGGGAGTCAGGGGTCTGTGGGGGGGGAGCAGGAGGAGAAAGAGGAGGAGGAGGAGGAGGAGGAGGAGGAGGAGGAGGAGGCAGAGAGATTGTAAGGACCAGAGGGGATGGATGACTCCACGGAAACAGTGTCCTTCAGACACAACAGGACACACGTGCCCTTAGACGTGCCAAAGACATGCACAGGGTTAAGCCAGATGGGGTCCCAGTGCTGAGAAGGGCGAGGCGGGTGTGGACAAGGGCTCCCACACCTGAGACGCCATCTGCAGGTGGTACCCACTCGCAAAAGAAAAACTAGTTATCTCCAATGGAGTCTCACTGGGAAGAGTAACCACACTTCAGGGTAGCCCCTGCCCGGCAGGACAGCAGCAAGCAAACACAATGGTCTTTTTGGGTGTGTGCGCCCGTGTGTGTGCGTGCGTGCATGTGTGTATGCGTGTGTGTGTGTGTGAGTGTGTGTGTGTTTGTGTGCGTGTAACTGGCCTTTGCTTATATATTTAGACACCTGATTTTGTGGGGCTTTGTGTGTGTGCGTGTGCATGTGTGCGTGTGTGTATGTGTTTATTTGTTTGCTTTTGTTTCTGAAAGGGAGAAAAAGAAAGTGTGAAATTGGGTGAGGTTTTGGGAGGAGTTGGGCAAGGGGAAAAGTCTAATCAGAATATATCGTGTGAAAAAATTGGTTTCCAATTAAAAAAGGCAAACAGAACAGAACAAAAGAGGACATGTCGGTTGGTGCACGTGTTAGAGGTGTAGCAGGTAAAAATCCTCAGTGGGTTTGACTCATGGCTTTGGGCCCAGGGCAAGCTCGTGTGTCATATTTGGGGAGAGCACAAACGTGAAAAAGAAAGAGAAGGGGTCAGAGCCCCAGTCAGCTCTCCAAGGGCGTGTCCTCAGTGACTTCAATCTTTCCCACGAAGCTCCACCAATGACTGTGCCACATCCCGCTGGCACCACAGGCTCCAGACCAAGTTAACGTTCGGGGCCCTTGGCACGAGAAGGAGAGATGCTTATCCACGTGTAAGGGAGGATGTGTGCACTGCTCTGAGTACTACACAGTTGTATACATGGAGTGAACACCCCTGGGATTTGGTATTGGGACAAGAGTACTGGAACCACTCGCGTGTGGATGTTGAGGCAACCCACACGGCTAAACCACTCTTGATAGCCGATCTGACCCATGGATAATGATGTCCGTGAAGAAGTGCTCGTATGTGTTGGTTACCTTCCAAGGGGGTCGTACCTGCCTTGTTGGGACAACTTTCCTGCCCACACTGCCTCGTTAGGATGACTTCCCGACACTGAGGACACGCTCTGACCCGCGGCGCCGTGACAGTCCTCTTGTCCTGGACACCGAGGACACGCTCTGACCTCGGCGTGGTGACAGTCCTCTTGTCCTGGACACCGAGGACACGCTCTGACCTCGGCGTGGTGACAGTCCTCTTGTCCTGGACACCGAGGACACGCTCTGACCACAGCGCTGTGACAGTCCTCTTGTCCTGGACACCGAGGATACGCTCCGACCGTGGAGTGGTGACAGTCCTCTTGTCCTGGACACCGAGGACACGCTCTGACCTCGGCGTGGTGACAGTCCTCTTGTCCTGGACACCGAGGACACGCTCCGACCGTGGAGTGGTGACAGTCCTCTTGTCCTGGACACCGAGGACACGCTCTGACCTCGGCGTGGTGACAGTCCTCTTGTCCTGGACACCGAGGACACGCTCTGACCTCGGCGTGGTGACAGTCCTCTTGTCCTGGACACCGAGGACACGCTCCGACCGTGGAGTGGTGACAGTCCTCTTGTCCTGGACACCGAGGACACGCTCTGACCTCGGCGTGGTGACAGTCCTCTTGTCCTGGACACCGAGGATACGCTCCGACCGTGGAGTGGTGAGAGTCCTCTTGTCCTGGACACCGAGGATACGCTCCGACCGTGGAGTGGTGACAGTCCTCTTGTCCTGGACACCGAGGACACGCTCTGACCACAGCGCTGTGACAGTCCTCTTGTCCTGGACACCGAGGATACGCTCCGACCGTGGAGTGGTGAGAGTCCTCTTGTCCTGGACACCGAGGACACGCTCTGACCGCGGTGTGGTGAGAGTCCTCTTGTCCTGGACACCGAGGACACGCTCTGACCGCGGCGCGGTGACAGTCCTCTTGTCCTGTGCCCCGCCCGTTAGTGACTGGCCCTTGCCCCAGCCACTGTTGCTGGTCCAGCTGATGACTCTCCCTTCTCTCTGTGCCGGGCAGGTCCTGCAGAAACTGGGGAAGGCTGACGAGACTAAGGACGAGCAGTTTGAGCAGTGCGTCCAGAACTTCAATAAGCAGCTGGTGAGTGTCTCTGCAGGTGGAACACGGCTGCCAGGTAGGGGATGGTGAGGGCCGTATTTATGAAGTCGCGAAGCCCAGAAGGGGGAATGGCTTGGGCTGCTGCGTTTCTGAAGGACTTCCTGGAGGAGGATGGCTGGTCCCAGCCGAGACCGTCAGAGAGAAGAGGCCAGGTTCTCTGGAAAACTTACAGTGAGAAGCAGGGGAGGGGAAGCCTGAAAAAGGTGGCCGGACCGTGGCAGCTAGGAGAGGGCCGTCTGCAGCTTTTAGTGTGGGGGTAAAGCAGGCTGGGTTCGACTGAGGCATTGTGTGGGCACGGTGAATGGCCTGGAAGCATCTGAGGGCATCCTTACAAGGACATATCCCAGTCCTTAGTTATGTAGGCAGCCCGGAGCAACAGGTAGATACAAGGGAGGACTTCCCCAGGAAGGGAAAACCTTGACCATCCCAGATGGAGATGACCTACACCATTCCACGACTGGGGGTGGAGGGAGGCTGAGCTGGCCCATGCCCTGTGGCTTCTTCAGGACAGTCCCATGAGAAAATGAGGCCACAAGAATGGGGCGGGACATGGGAGGTGAGGTTAGGGTTCTGCTCTGGATATTGGGGGTGGGGAGTAGGCCCAGGCTGGGAGACTCCACTGTCGTGTACACCATCTATGGCTGAGGTCTTGGGTAGCGTTGAGGGTGCCCATGGGAGCCTCTGCAGCTGGCTGGACTAGAACCCAGGGGGAGGGTCTCATTGGGCTGGGCCTGGGGTGCGGAGGGAGTGGCAGCATGCTAGGAGAGGCCCAAAGCATGCTGGGAGAGGGCTGAAGCATGCTGGGAGAGGGCTGAAGCATGCTAGGAGAGGAGGGCTGAAGCATGCTGGGAGAGGGCTGAAGCATGCTGGGAGAGGGCTGAAGCATGCTGGGAGAGGGCTGAAGCATGCTGGGAGAGGGCTGAAGCATGCTGGGAGAGGCCCAAAGCATGCTGGGAGAGGGCTGAAGCATGCTGGGAGAGGGCTGAAGCATGCTAGGAGAGGAGGGCTGAAGCATGCTGGGAGAGGGCTGAAGCATGCTGGGAGAGGGCTGAAGCATGCTAGGAGAGGAGGGCTGAAGCATGCTGGGAGAGGGCTGAAGCATGCTGGGAGAGGGCTGAAGCATGCTGGGAGAGGCCCAAAGCATGCTGGGAGAGGGCTGGGGAGGAGCAGGGGGAGAGCAGGAGAGCATGTGAGGAGAGAGCTTAAGGATGTGTTGCCCTGGTCTGCCAGAGATATCTAACCCAAGAGATTCCCCAGGGCCGGAACGGGAGCCACCATAACTCCTTATGCCCTGGCCAGTAACGGGAGGTGTTTGAAGGCCTGAGTAGGTTCCCTGGCGGGGTCGTCTGCCACCTTAGATTCTTCATCTGTAAAACCTAAGCTTGAGCAAAAAGTCAGAAGCCCTGGCTCTGAGTCTACCTTAAGGCAGCGCATGTCCCTACTTAGCTGTTTCCCTCAGGCCGTGGGCAGTGTTGAAACCCTTTTGGAAACTGCCAATACCTGCGCACTTACTGTGGGCCACACATAGCCTGGTCAGCCTCGGAGTGAGGCCCATACTCTTTTTTTTCTTTTATGAGTTTTCTCTTGAGACAGGGTTTTCTGTATCCCAGAATGCCCTTGAACTCATTCTGTAGCAAGACTGAGCATGACTTCTCTGCCTTCATCCCGAGTGCTGGGATTACAGGCTTGCCCTACCACACAGTAGGTGTGCTTGGGCTCGAACCCAGGGATTTGTGTAGCTCTACTCACCGAGCTAAGCCCTCGGCTCCTGCCGTTTTCTTTATTGTCAGGTGAAGCAATGGGCTTCAGAGCCGTTAAGGCCACATGGAGATTAAAATTAGGACTCTGGCCCTTTAAGCTTCTCTGCTTGTTCACCCAGCCCAGAGGACAGCTGGATGCTGTGAGCTTGAAGGGAGGACTCTGGAGTCTCTTTGAAGGAGGCTGGGCTGGTGGGGGAGCAGGGGAGAGGACAAGGAATGCATAGAGGCGGGAGCTGGGTGTGTGTTGCACGCGCCTGTGCCTGCGTGTGTCCCAGTGGCCTGGTCCAACAGAGCGGCACTCCCCATACTCTCCATGGTGTTTACAGGCATGGGACTGGGATCTCTAAGTTCTTGCATTCCAGAACAAGGAATTGAACCATCAGCGCATGGGTAGTGATAGAAGCAGAGAACTCTGAGTGAGGATGTGGGTAAGAGAGCTGGGAAGAGTTCGAAGTTCAGTGACGTTTGTGCTGGTGCAGATGGGGATGGCTATACCTCACGCACTTTGTTTTTACGCATACTCTGTCACAGGTCAGCCTAAGCTAGAAGGGGTTTCTTTCCGCCTGCCGGCTTCTGTCAGATGCTAGTCTTCAATGCCTTACACTAGAGCTGCCTCAGGTTACCCTTGCTAGGTCTCTGCCCCCGGGCAAGCCCTCCCTCAGTACTCCCTGTGGGTACCAAGGCTAGGCTCAAAGACCGGCCCTGAAGTTAGCCATGGAGGTTGACCGGGCCTGGGGTTCAGGCTGCCCTGGGCTGGTGTCTGACGGTTTAGGGCTGGGGTACTTTTGGGAGTAAGCTTTGCAGTTTCCTTTGCACCTCGGTGGTTCTCACGTGGAGGTTACAGGTCTGGGACGGTCTGGGGTGTGTGAGGAATGACTTGGTAAGGGGTGGGGTGGGGTGGGGTGAGGTGTGGCTTGGAAAGGGTATGGGGGCCCGTTCTCTATTCTTGAGGGAGAGAATCCAGGAGCTGTGGTGAGCTGGGTCCTCTGCCAGCCTACGGAACCGGGATCAGAGCTGGGGTGTGGGAAGCCAGAGCTACAGTTTCTCCTGTGCCTGTGCCGGAGCCCTCAGCATAGCGAGCTCAACATAGGTTACTGTAAGGCTGTCAGTGTGTCCAGTCTCTGGGACAGTAAGTCTCCGGGACAGTAAGTCTCAGGGACAGTAAGTCTCAGGGACAGTAAGTCTCAGGGACAGTAAGTCTCAGGGACAGTAAGTCTCAGGGACAGTAAGTCTCAGGGACAGTAAGTCTCAGGGACAGTAAGTCTCCGGGACGGTAAGTCTCCTCCTCCTTGTAACCCCTGGAGGAGGCCGAGGCTGCCTGCCGTTACTTCCCTTCATGGTGACCCAGGTGGGTGGCTCTCTCTGGACCCCGTTGGTGCTAGTCACAGGTGGTCCCCTTGACTTCTGCCCTGTCTTGAGTGACTGTAATGAGCAGAGCTGATGGACCATGAGGTGCTCGGCAGCTCGACTGAGGCTTTGTCTCTCAAATGCGCTCACTTGATCCACACAGACGTCCCTTACGACAGCACGCTATACAGAGATTGTGCAGTCTTGCGTAAACAGACACCTCACCAAGTGACGAACTGTTGGGCAGAAAATGCTTCCACGGGGGAACCCTCTCCAGGGAGGGTGCTTTGGAAGCAGGCTTGGCCCATGCTTCTGGGTCCTTCAGCTGTGGCAGGCTGGGAGGATGGTGCTGTTGGAAGTTCCAGGTGGTCTTTGAGAGCAACGGTCACTGCCGACCAGCGCGGCAAAGGCGCAGAAAACTTGGTGGTCGTCGAAGCCAGACTCGCAGGGAGGCCAGTCTCAGAGTCCCTTTGCCAGTGGCCATCCATGCGGAGGCTTGAGAACACAATGCCACCGCAATCCTGGGGCCACCTCCGGAGTCCGGCTTTTTGTATTGTCCCAGGGGGTGTTAGCTCTGGGCTTTTGGGACTCACAGCTTAGGGCTGGCTGTTAACCTATAGGGACCCGCCTTGGGCTTGGCTCATATCGGAGCTGCCTTGTAACACATCTTGCAAACATTACTTTATTTCAAGAAGCCATCGCAGGCTTCCTGGCTGGCCGAGCTCTAACTCGTAGGGCTGATTGAGGCTGCTGGTCCCCGGGATTCACTGTGATGTGGAATCCTGTCCCTGGCACCGAAGGCTTAGCGGCAGGAGTTGGGGCTGAAGCTGAAGGCCCCCTAAAGACTCTGTCTGCAGGCTTAGGGTGAGGCTGAATGTAGGAAGGCCCAGCAGGGGCAGATGGAGCTGGCTGGGCTTGGTCTCCTCTGGCTCTGTGTCAGGTCCCTGCTAACATTTATGGGCCCAGCCGAGCGATGGCCCAGAAGATTCCTCCCCAGCTGGACTCCAATGGCGTTGTGACTGGAACCCAGGAAGTTCTAGAGGACTGTTGCCCAGCTGTCCTGCTTAGGGGATGGCTATTCTAGGTAACAGTTGCTCAGCCGAGTGCTGCTAATCTGCTCACAGTCAGTGTCTGGGAGGCACCAGGGCCTTGGTTTGGGTAAATCGATTAAGTGCGTAGCCAACCCAAGGAGGACCTCTTGCTTGGGTAGAGTGTGGGGACGTGTATTGTAAGAGATAGGAGGGAGGATAAAGGTGTGTCTGGGATGAGGGATGCTTAGCAGAGAGAGAAGTCGGGTATGTACATCCAGTAAGATGCTCTCTTTAACCCTCGTTTTAAAAATATTTTTTATTTAAGTTAGAAACAAGCTTGCTTCACATGTCAATCCCAGCTCCCTCTCCCTCCCATCCTCCCCTGCCCCTCTAACCCCCAATCCCCACTCCATTCCCCAGGGAGGGTGAGGCTCTCCATGGGGGAATCTCCAGAGTCTATCATTTCATTCAGGGCAGGGCCTAGGCCCTCTCCCAAGTATCCAGGCTGAGAGAGCATCCCTCACTGTGGGATGGGCAACCAAAGTCCGTTTGTGTGCCAGGGATAAATACTGATCTACTAGAAATCAGTATGGAGATTCCTCAGGGAAAGGAGAATCAGTCTACCACAAAACCCTCATTTTTGGCAGCAGCGGAGCATTTAAGGCGTTAATGTGGGGAAGCCTTGGAGAGCTGGGGTTCTCCCTGTCCAGTGCTGTGGGCTCCCATCCCCTCTCACGACGCGTCTAGGTCCGGCTTTTGTCTCCTCGTTTAGTTTGTACTCTGTGAGCCTTGGGCTTGGGTGTTCAAGCTTGCATCTGACCAGGGTTACATGCCAGGCGCTCAGCGTGTTGCTGATGTGTGGATCTCACTAACCGCCGAGTGAAGCTATTTCTAGAAGAATCAACAGCAACAACAACAAACAACGAGATTAGGCAAACAAAGGCCATAGTGTGCTATGTATATCTCGTTTGCATTATGAGTAATGCAGAGATGTGCACCGCGCGGGGGGGGGGGCGGGTAGGGGGGCGACTTAATGTGGGTTCTGTGTCTAAGTCTTCTCACAAAGGGCTTGTGCGTCTGTGGGTGTGGGGGTCTGACAGGCTTCCTGGATGAATCCCCGGTGTTTGTCAAAGTACAGCTGTCCCGGGGCGGGGGCGGGGGAGGGGGAGGGGAGGGGGAGGGGGAGGGCTGAAAGTGTGTGAGAGAGGGATTTTGTTCCTTTCACACTCTCGGTCTTATTATGTGGCATTTTACGTGTTCCCCTTAAACTGCCACTGCTGGCGTCCTCAGCAGTGAGATGTGAAATAGGGTACAGATGACAAAACAGTGGAAGGGCTCCACCCAAGTCTAGCGGAGTGAGCCACGAGTTTATTGGAGCGAGCATGGGTGACTCAAAGGCAGCTGTGCACTGGAGAGCCCACCCAGCGGGGGATGACCAACCAGAGCCGTAGCCCTGCAGTTTCCTGACGCGTCCCCGCTCCCCAGCCATGGTCACCGCTTATATAACGTGGGGCAGGGACCTCATACGTCTGTACACTTCTGGAACTTCCTGGGGGGCCCCTGTAACCAGTTACCCACCTAGCCTGGACCCTCTGGCTGCAGGTGCTCCCCGAATCTCCCCGGCTTTGTACGCTGCTGAGTGTGTTGCTGACCTCACAGCTTCCTTGTCGAGTGGTGGCGGTCCACGGGGCTCTGACCACCCAGGCGGAGAAGCACAGGTTTCAGCAGATGAGGAAGGGGGCCTGCTGGCAGGTCAGAGGGTGCTGGTCAGAGCCAGGAAGGTGGCCAGTCCCTGAGTGACCGACCTGTGTGGGCAGAGGTAATTTTCAGGTCAGGGTACTGGTCTCCTGTGGCTAGTCATGGCCATGTCTCCTTCCCTCTCCTACGGAGAGACAGGGGGCACGATGGTTGCTCCCCGGGACACAACCACCCTCAGCTGTGTGCCCATTCCCCAGGGTGAAGCCCACTCCCGAGGCCGGACTCCAAGGCCTTGGGACCTGGTGTCTCATCTGAGCCATTTCCAAGCACTTGTGGTGTGCTAGGCAGGGTCATTATTTGCTTTGTATTCCAGAGTGAAGTATAACCCCCAAACGGTATAACGATACTCGAGGCTATATAGGGAAAAGCAATATATTTATTTATCAGGGAGAGAGAGAGTCGCACATACCAGGAGTTAGAAGCTTGGCTGGCTTCCAGGAGAAAAGAGAGAGGCCCCTTTTCCTTTCACTACCTTTTATCTCTACCTTGACCCCGCCCTGTTGGGCGGATAGCTTTGTGGGGTTCACTCCTACAAAACGGTGTGCTCTTTCTCTTCTGCCATGGCCTCTGGAACCTTCCAATTAGCCCTTTGGGTAGTCCGGGCACTCTTACCCATTGTACCCTCCTGGTACTTACATCTGAGCATTCCTGGTCCGTTTATATGCCACAGGAACTTGAGGCCTGGCCCATGGTTCAATCCTCTCTGCTGGCTCTGTTGCCTCGGGAGGAGGTCTACTACTACTCTCCTAGCTCGGGAAGCTTCATAGTTGGCTGACCCCTCCTCTGCAGCGTTTTCTACTGTCCCTCTTGCTTGGGCTAGCGGCCCTTAGAGTTCCTGAAGTTTCTCTGCACCCTGCTAATACCGTTCCTTCTGGGCTTCCCTTCTCCAAGGAGTCCCCCCCCCCATCCCTCAGGAGCCTCCTGTCCTTCCTTTGGTACTGTGGGAGTCCCTGTGCCTAGGTTCTGCCTGAAACTGCAGACCAAGGTGCCTGCTGGTTCCCTGCACCCACCTGGCCACGTTTCTGTGACCGTTTGTCACGTGTTCACCGCCCCCAGGGATTCATACTGCCTCGTTCACGTGCTCTGGGTTTATGGTGTTCAGCAGTACCCCAGTGTGACGTCCACTGTGCAGGGCCTCGTCTTCCACTGAGTGGTGGCCGGCTGACGGTAACCATGGCCAGAGGGCCACAGCTGCTGTGCTCTGAGATTCTCGATCGTAGGAGAACAGGGGTTGGCGGCTGTTGGCAAGACGACAGTCTGGTTTGTCATGAGACGGGCGGTCGGAGGGAGAGGGTCGGTAGCCAGCGTCCCTGACCTGGTTCTTGGCTTTTCTGGCAGACAGAGGGCACCCGGCTGCAGAAGGATCTCCGCACCTACCTGGCTTCCGTTAAAGGTAGGGTACGTCTGTCTGCAAGGAGCTGGGGCTTTAAAGTCTTCGGGGAAGCTGGGCCACATCCGTGGCGCTGGTGTCTGGATGGGGATGGCACGTGGGGTCCATGTACCTTCTCCCTACCCCGTAGCCATGCACGAAGCCTCCAAGAAGCTGAGTGAGTGTCTCCAGGAGGTGTACGAGCCCGAGTGGCCAGGCAGGGATGAAGCGAACAAGATTGCAGAGGTAAACATGGGAGGGTGGCCTCGGTCCCTCCCCCAGGGCCCCTTGGCCTCGGTCATTCCCTCAGCTCCCGCCCCCACAAAGTCTCACCCTCTGGTGCAAGCTACCGCGTAGCCTTGGCCGAGCTGCCTTCATTTTTTTTTTTCCTGCAGACTTCACACTGGAGTTTGAGACCGCAGATTGTGGCTGTCCCTGTGTGCTAGGGCTCACTAGTCGCACAGTCCCCCTTGCTCACCTGTTCCGTCTTTACTGTATTTGAACCTTGCTAGGGACACTGCAACCTTGGGAAGCCCGGGCTCTGAGAATCCACAGAGCTTTGAGGTGATGGGCTGAGGTCCAGAGCTGGGTGCCGTGTGGCTCTCCGAAGCACTCCTGTCCCTGTGTTTCAGAACAATGACCTACTGTGGATGGACTACCACCAGAAGCTGGTGGACCAGGCCCTGCTGACCATGGACACCTACCTGGGCCAGTTCCCTGACATCAAGGTAAGAGACCTCTTGGCCCATTGTCTTGCTTTGGGCTGGCGCTTGCGGAAGGAGCTGGAGTCTGGGAGAAGCCTTTAATGGAGGGCTGGCTCAGGGCGACTGCCCTGTGGACAGGTATCTGCTCAGCGTGGCGGTTTGTCTCTTCCGGACTGGTCTCTCGGTGACCGGCCACCAACTGTCTTACGTGACATCGTGGGGGTGATACAGTGCGCACCGATGATACACTAAAGGATGAGTTTTACCCAGTTCTGCTTGGGTTTCTTGGGGTTATGCTTACCCTAGAATGAGTGACAGTTGAAAAGCAACGTCGCTGGAGCTCCCTGTACAACCTGCAGGCAGCGTGGCAACCCAGACTGTCTCCTCTCCCCAGCAACTGTTGCTGCTTATATAACCTCAGGCGGGGGCCTTAGGTGGGAGGATGTGTAAGACCCCACTCTGTAGTATTTGGTAGGGCGTGTGTTGCCTGCTAACCGTGTGTGTGTGAGCGTGTGTGCCTGTGTGCGCGTGCGTGTGTGTGTGTGTGCGTGCGTGCGCGCGTGCGTGTGCGCGTGCGTGCGTGCGTGCGTGCGTGTGTGTGTGCATTATTGAATGTTAAGAAACCTAGTTGCTTCACCTGGGACTGAGTACATGCTCGGAGCCTTGTATGATAAAGTCTCCACCAATGCTGCCGAGCCCCTAGGTGCTGTGTCCATAGAGGCGCAGGAGTCTGCGGAGCCCAGGAGGGTTGGGAGGAAATGTCTCCCTTATGTGCCCCAGTGCAGATATAAAAAGTCACTCACAGACTGGTGCAGGAAAGATCTGGGGCCTGAGAAGTGTCTCTTAAGGACCCCCCCCCCCCCCCCCCCCGGCTGAGGAAGAGCTTTGCCTCTCGTGACACTGACTGGGGGTTCTCACCGATGAGTTCTTGTCAGGAAAGTGGGTGACACAGAGGAGGACTGGGTGCCCTGCAGAGTGAGCTTTCCGCCTGCAGAGGGCTCCGTAGCCAGATTGGGGTCTACTCCAGGCCTGCTGTGTTCACCTTGCCTACTCCCTGTGGGCCCAGCCTGGGCATCTCGGCCTCGGGCCTCACCGAGCCCTCCCTTCTCTGCTCCCTAGTCACGCATTGCCAAGCGGGGGCGGAAGCTGGTGGACTATGACAGCGCCCGGCACCACTATGAGTCTCTCCAAACCGCCAAAAAGAAGGATGAAGCCAAAATCGCCAAGGTGAGGCCTGGGGCAGGGACGGGGAATCAGAGAGAGAGAGGTTTGTCCAAGGTTCCCGGCTGCGGGGGTGGGGGTGGGGTGTCCTGAGCCCAGTGCCAGAGAGCAGAAGACCCCGTGGGTGCCTAGGCAGGAGAATGGGGGCTATTGCTGGCCTCTTTCTGCCCCTTTGTCCTGCTCTGAGGCAGTTTTCCAGAACGAGACCGAAGCCAGCTTGGGTTTCCCTGGTGTGGCGCCACCTTGCTCAATGCACTGGGTGGAATTCTGTCATGGGATCCGACATGACCCTGTGTTGCTGGAACAAGCCTGTGGGCTGGTCACAGTCGTGTGGCGCGTGGGTGGGCGTGGCGCGTGGGTGGGCGTGGTGCGGGGGTGGGTGGCACAGCCCTGGGTGCGACTCCCTCTACCCTGCTTACTCCTCTCAAGAGCTGTTTTGTAGTTACAGTTCAACTCCCCTTTGCACGCCCACTTGGGTGGGACCCCCTTATTTCTCAGCCTTGGGGCGTTGGGGAGGGAGAAGCTAACCCTGCTGCGTGCTGGCCTCTGGATGGGGGCTGGCTTGTCTGACTCTGCGTGGGGTCGTTGCGGGCTTGGTGTTTAATTATCTATGTCTCTTTTTTTTCCCTCCCGTCTCTCCATTCTCCTTTGCCTTGACCTCACCTTCCCTTCCTCCCTGCCCCCAGCCTGTCTCGCTGCTTGAGAAAGCCGCCCCCCAGTGGTGCCAAGGCAAACTACAGGCTCATCTTGTAGCTCAAACTAACCTGCTCCGAAATCAGGTGATACTGGCTTCTAACCCTGCACGCGCTGACGCCTTCCGGTCTGTGGTCCCCTCCTGGGCGTCTCTCTGCCCAGCCTCTGCAAGCTTCCCTGGGATAAGGGGGGGCTTACCTTCTTCCTGGGGTCTGGAGGAAGACAGGGCTGGAGTCTGAACTGCCGGCCTGTGGCACAGGGCCGGGCGAGGTGGGACTTTTCAGATACCTCTGAGACCCCTGTTTGAGAGGAAACAATTGACGAGGTCTCCTGGTAGGTTGGGGCCTAGGAGTTGTGTATGGCCGGGGCACCCACCCAGGTCTATGCTTTCTTCAGATGGCTGACGTCCGCTACTGCCCTAACCAGGAACACCTTTGAGTGTCTGCCCTCTCTGGGGACTCCTGCCCTCTTCCTCAAAGTTATTCTGGGTATTCTGAGTGCCCCCAGAGTCACTCCTACTCCGAGGACCCCAGACCTGGTTGTAGCCGAGTCCTGGGGTGGCTAACCTGGTCCTTGGCCCGGACTCCGTGTAGTAATGAGGACTCAGGACCGGGCCACTGGAGGAGACTCCAAGAAGCCTCTGTGTTCTGACTGGGATACAAAACGCATCAGGGAGACCTGGGTCCGGAAGGGTCATCCTGTGGCGGTTACGTGGAGGGAGAAGGTTTTAAAGGGGTTTCTGCCACCACCCTGCCTGTGAGTCTTACGTCCTAAACCTGGAGCTGTGTGAAGTTGGGTCTGCTGAGGTGAGGCGTGTAGACCAAGAGAAGTTGTTGTTTTTTTTCCTTCCCATCTTGCTGAGTCTCAGGAGACTCTTCACAGCAGGGATGAGGCAGGTGACGGAGGCTTGACCCAGGAAGAGGTCGGATTTCTCCTGGACAGTGCCCTATTTCTCCTGGGCCACCTCCTGATTTCATCATCTCCAGCCACATGTATCGAATGCCCAGGAAGGGAGGGAGGGAGCTCCCACATGACATGGCTGCCTGCCTAATTCCTGACCTGACCCACTGCCTAATTTCTTGAAGGCCAAGGCTTGGGGCTAACTTGGGAGGCACTGAGGTTAGAACCACGATGACCGGTCGTGCAGAGCCTGTGGGCAGGCTTACAGGAAAACACCCGGGTAGCCTTGGGAGGTAGAGCAGAAGTATCAGGAAGCCTGTGGGCTGAGGGGATGGTGCGCGAGCAGAAGCCAGGTTTATGATTGTTCCTTCCAGACAAGGTGGGGTGCTTTGAATGCATTGCAGGGGTCCCCGGGATGCTTTAGGGCCTGGGATGGGGTCTGCCTGATGCTTTAGGGCTCCTGGGACCGGGGCGGGTGGCGAATCATGCTTGGGAGGGTCCCCAATTCCCTGTGGGGGAGCAGCAGGGGAGGCTGAGGTGCAGGATCACCTTTTCAAATGCTGGCTGTAGATGGCTTATTTTCCCCATGCGACCCCCCATTCCCTCATTTCTCTTTGTCATTCTCTCATTTCTCTTATTCTCTCTCTCTTTCTCATTCTCTCTCATTTCTCTCTCCTCTCCTCTCTTCTCCCTCCCCTCTCTTCTCCCCTCCCCTCCTCTCCCCTCCTCTTCCTAATGCTAACTGGAAACCTGGATCTCATTCTCTCTCATTTCTCTCTCCTCCTCTCCCCTCCTCTTTTTAATGCTATCTGGAAACCTGGATCTCATTCTCTCATTTCCCTCTCATTCTCTCTCTGTCTCCCCTCCCCTCCCCTCCCCTCCCCTCCCCTCCCCTCCCCTCCCCTCTCCTCTCCTCCCTTCCCCTCCCCTCTCCTCTCCTCCCTTCCCCTCCCCTCCTCTCCCTAGTGCTAACTGGAAACCTGGATCAACTTTGGAGTTGCCCTTGTCACCAGTGGGCAGCTGGCTGGCTGTGAGCTTGGACTTGGCTTTGGGGGACGGTGCCAGCCCTGCCAGCTGAGCTTGTAGAACTAGCTGGCTTCTTGTGTCCCTGGCTGGTCCTGGGAGCTCTCTAGACTTGCTCCAGTGTCTTGGGCTTGCCTGCAAGACTAGTCCAGTCTCTCTAGTCAGCCCCTTGCTTTTAGAATGGAGAGGGGCGTGGCAGGATGCAAAGCCTCCTGCTCTCCCAGAGCTCTCCCCTGCTCTGCCACTCCTGAGTGCTTCCTGAGGGGTGGCGTTTGTGGTATAGTGTGCATAGCTGCCTTCCAGATGCTTCCTAGAAGGCCGGGGTATCAGGGACGCAGGAAAGGACTCAGGCCCTGACTTTGGAAGATTTAAAGTGGACCCCCTGCTCTCGTTCTATGCAGTGTTGCTGGGGCACCCGACCCGAGAGGAGGGGCTCCCAGCTCTGATCTGACCTGTCCCAAGGGGATTGTTTGTGTTCAGACAGACATTTCCTTCCTTCCAGTGTGTGTGTGTGTGTGTGTGTGTGTGTGTGTGTGTGTGTGTGTGTACTATCTTTGTGAGGTGGGGGCGCCCTCAAGCTAGAAGAGGGAGTCTCGGATCACCTGGAAATGGAATTAAAAGGGGTCATGACCTTTCTGACATGGGTGTTGGAACTGATTTTGAGTCCTCTGGATGGGCAGGAAGCACCCTTTAACCTAACTACAAAGCCATCTCTCTGCCCTCTGCCCCCAAATTTAAAGTGGGGGTCAAACTGAAGCCCTCATGCATGTATGTACAACGAGCATGGGATTTCGTGAGCTGTCTTCCCTGCCTCACTTTTAAGGTTTGTCCCCCCCCCCCCCCGTTTTAAATTTGATTCTAGGGCTGGAGAGATGGCTCAGAGGTTAAAAGCATTGACTGTTCTTCCAGAGGTCCTGAGTTCAATTCCCAGCAACCACATGGTGGCTCATAAACATCCATAATGAGATCTGGCACCCTCTTCTGGCCTGCAGACATACATGGAGGCAGGATGCTGTATTCATAATAAATAAATAAACCTTTAAAAAAGTTAGAATCTAATAACATACACTCAGGAGCCCATGTGTTACCTGGAGTGTATGGTAATCAGAAGCCATGGAGAACCCCTTCTCTTATTCCATCCAAGACTCCAGCTTGGGGTATATGGGGTTGGGTACTCAGCGGGCTGGTCCTGGTGTGCCTTAAGCTGTGTGGAGTGGCCAGTTGGGGCTGGAGGGGAAAAAAAAGTGTGATTTTTGTCCGAGTGGTATTCTGGTCGGTTGTGTTCCAACACCAGCCTTGGAATATAATAGGGCTGCTGTGTTAGGAGTCAGGCCTGGATTGGAGCCACTCTCCACAGCCCCGTGTGTGAGAGAGACTCAGCCTCACCTGGTGCAGGGGTCTAACCCACCTCTTGGTGGATGTGAGCGCGCTGTAGAAGGAGATGTAGGGGGAGCCAGGGGTGCTGGGGATGGGCACCTCAGCCCGGCTCCTTCCTCCCTGTCTCATTCCTTTGCCCTTCTTGGAGGTACCGAGCCACTGCCACTGGTCCTGGGACAGGTCATAGGAGAGCGATTTGTGGGGGCAGCCTTCCCCAGGAAAGTAAAGAGAAACCGGAAACCAAAGCCAGGCAGGCTCTAAGAGAGCAAGCAGGAAGCTTCCTCCGGAGGGGGTCGTGGGGAGCTGTGGCCAGCCAGCTGAACCTCAGGCTGACACTCGTTAATGTGGGCAGGGTCCCACTGAGACTGGGGGCTGCCTCTGTGCCCCAGCCCTCTGGGTTGTTGGCCCCCCCCCCCCCGTCTCCCCACTCCCCCCATCCCCTGTGTGCTTGTGTTAGGCTAGGGATCAAGTTCCCGGATTGTCCCTGAGAAGTTGTGCACATTAATATTTCGAGACAGCATCTCTCACTGGGCCCCGAGGCACACTGTCTCTGTTCAGCTGGCCAGCCAGTGAGCTCCAGGGATCTTCCTATGGGCACCCCCCACCCAGAACTGGGATTTCAAATATGTTCTACCACATTGGGCTTTTTATGTGGGTGCTGGGGATCAAACTCGGGTCCTCCTACTTATCCCGCAAGCACTTTGCCAACTGAACCATCTCCCCAGCCCTGGTCTCCAGCCTTCTTACTGGCCTTCCCGCTACAGCCTCCTTTGGTGACGGCAGCTCAGACCTCCGATTCCCAGAGGCCTAGCTGTAGGCGTCCTTAGGTCTCCAGTGGGAGGTTCAGGGTGGGTATCCACATCCAGTCCGGTGTCTGTTCTGCTCAGGCCCTGGGGCCCTGCATCCCGGCAGGGGCAGGAGAGGGTGCCAGCTATTGGGGTAGGTCTGCCTCAGCCCCCCAGGGCAGAGTCCCAGGCGGAGGCTAACGCAGCTCCCCGCTGCCTCTCCATCCCAGGCAGAGGAGGAGCTCATCAAAGCCCAGAAGGTGTTCGAGGAGATGAATGTGGATCTGCAGGAGGAGCTGCCGTCCCTGTGGAACAGGTGAAGTCAACAGGGGCCCAGAACCCTGGCGGCCAGCCTGGCCCTCGGCCGCCTACCCCGCTCCAAGGCTCCGTGTCTCGGAGCCTGCAGCAGGCAGGCGGTCGCCTGTGGTTTTCACCGTGACGCCTCCCCTCCCTCCGGCAGCCGTGTAGGTTTCTATGTCAACACGTTCCAGAGCATCGCGGGTCTGGAGGAGAACTTCCATAAGGAGATGAGTAAGGTAGGCCAGGGGACCCTGCAGCGCAGAGGATGGGGCCACGGCGGGGACGGGGAGCTGTGGGAGGGGAGGGGGGGTCCAGTCCAGCCCCAGCCTGGACCCATGTTACTGAAATACGATCAGCCCCCAATGTTAATTAACACCATCGTCCTCTGGGGGCAACTCTGAGGTCTCAGGGCTAGAAACGGCGTTGGGTATTTTCCTCAGTCTGTAGGAAAGTAATAAATAAGTTACCAGAAGTTTTGTAATAAACCAAGTCTCCTGTGTTTCTTGAGGTAGTGAGGTGGGCTGCGTCTCTTCCTGCGTCTGGCATGGGAGGCGAGATTAGCTCACGCTTTTGTGTTGAGTTAGAGCGGACGCTGTGTTCCCGCGGGCGCTGGAGACGCCTGCCGTGGCAGCTCTCCCACGCAAGGCGGCTGTTTTGAGTTTGCCTCTTGGACCCAGAGGAACGGAGCGATGACGGTGGACCCCAGGTTTCGGGGCTGAAGAGAACGAGCTGGCTTGGGGCCTTCTCCTGACCACAGCCCTACAGCCTCCCTTTTCTTCCTGCTTTTCCTCCTCCTCCTTAAAGACTCGAGGCAAAGCATATAGCAGTTAGGACCCGTAACGTGGCCAAGTGGGCAGAGATGCTTATCACACAGGCCTGGGGGGTGACTTGAGCTTAGCTCCGGGAACTTAAATAATGGTAGAAGGAGAGAATTGACTCCACAGTTGTCCCCCAGTGATTAAATATGTAAGCTGAAAAAAATCAAATCAGGTATTTTAGGAAAAGAAACCTTTATGCAAAGTTAGTCCAAGGCACAGAAGGCAGAATTACATATTAAGTAGGAGAGAAGTTTATCTCTGTACTTCCTAAAGGCCAAAGCAAAACAGAGAAATGTTACTTATGAGGCCAACAGTCTGCGTGGAACAAACCTCTTGCCTTTTGGAGGAATTTCTGGAAGTTGTAGGGTGGTTTGGAAGCTTCCTAGCAAAATGACCTTAGGAACTAGGATTAACAAACATTAAATCTGCATTCTGCAAAAATGAGTTTTTTTTTTTTTTTTGGTTTTTTTTGAGACAGGGTTTCTCTGTGGCTTTGGAGGCTGTCCTGGAACTCGCTTGGTAGTCCAGGCTGGCCTCGAACTCACAGAGATCCACCTGCCTCTGCCTCCCGAGTGCTGGGATTAAAGCAAAAATGAGTTTTAAGAAATAAAATGTTGAAGTGCCTTGTGCTGGAAACCCAGCAAGCAGGAGGATTAAGGTAAGAACATTACAAGTTTGAAGCCTGGGCAATGTAGCGCACCTTGTCTTAAGCTGAAGTGAACAGAAAGCCGGAGGTGTGGTCCAGTGTCCGAGCACTGTCTGACTTGTGCTTTGGCTAAGTGAACGGCTTTGCACATGCCAGACAGCTGCTCTGCTCTTCCCCAAGTGGGAAAAAGTGAAAACTATAGTAGACTCTTAGGTGGCCTTTGGGGTGTCCCTCTTAACAGGAACAGAGCAAAGGGGGCCCTTGGCAATAACAGCTCTCAGCAGTGGGGCTCCTGTCCCGACTTCTGTGCTGTTGGTTGTCTGGGGTTCGTTGCTGGTCCCGTCTCCCAGCGATGGGGTCGGGGGAGCTTGCTTCTGGTAGTGGCAGGGGCAGCAGCGAGGAAACAGCTACTCCTGCAGACGGTGCGCTTGGCCAAGCCTGCTTCTGTTCACTCCTCCCGCAGCTCAATCAGAACCTCAACGACGTCCTGGTCAGCCTGGAGAAGCAACACGGTAGCAACACCTTCACGGTGAAGGCCCAGCCCAGGTGGGTGAAGGCGGGGAGGGCGAGGTCAGTGACTCGGGGAGCCTGCCGATCCCTGGGCCTTTGTAGAGTAGAGGGCAGGGTGGAGGCAGGGCTGCATTGCTGACAGAGGCTGTGTTTCCTGGTGTGCCAGCCTTCCTGCCTCCTGTTCAAGGTGAGGTCCGAGGACGGGGCAGCGCCTCCGTGCTCTGTCCTTCCCTGCCTTTCTCAGGCGGCCGCTAGGGGACGCTGTCTCCCGAGGGGGAAGCAGCAGAGACAACCTGGGATCTGGTATTGCACTCATTATTGGTGTGTGTGTGTGCGCGCACACGCGCGTGTGTGTGCGTGGTCGATATTGATTGTCTACGTACACATTTGATTGAGTGCCGTGCGCCGTAAGCATCGTCTGCTTCTTGGGGTCCGCTGCCCAGAACTTGGGAGCATTTCAGTGAACAGTCTTTATTCCTTTCTCTCCCCCGAAAACAAAACATGCATTTGACAGAGAGGAGCCTGCACATGTCCTGGGGGAGGGGGGAGGTGGAAATGAGGGCAGAGGCGTCTGCAGTCGGTTTAGAAAGACCTTACCCACTTGGAAAGGCTGTGGGGCCCAGGCTGGGTGGGCAGGCTCTGGTCCACACTCTCCATTAAGGCTCTCCATCTGTGCCCCGACCCTGGCGTCCTGCAGCCTTCTAGGGCAGGTCAGCAACTGCCCTTGGCAGGCAAGCAGGCGGGCGGGCTGGGACACAGGACAGACAGACGGAGGAGCTCGGAGTGCAAGGTTGAGGCGGGGAGGTCCTGGAAGGAGAGGCTAGGAGAGCCGGAGGGGAAGGCAGGGGGCATCAGGAGCAGGCTGAGGGTGTGTGTGTGGGGTGATCCTGGGGAGGAGCCCCGGGAGGGAGGCCGAGAACCGGGCAGGGGCGAGGAAGGTCTAGAACCGGCGGGGTAGGAAGGTCAGACAGGTCGAATGGGTGACACTAAGGGCAGGTGGGGCAGCTAGTGGGCGGGGCATTGCTTCGAGGCCCCGAGCAGAGATGGAGTGGGGGAGAGAAGGCCTCGTTCCCGTGGCTCCTCCTCCAAACGAAGCATCCATACCCGGCCGTCCCCACAGAAAGAAAACTAAACTGTTCTCACGGCTGCGCAGGAAGAAGCACAGGTACCGCCCCGCCTTGAGTGCAGTGCCACGGCCTCCGGGGCCCCGCCCTGACTGCGCATGCGCCTGTGCCCCGCTGCCGGGCCCACTAACCCCTAACCTGCCCGTGTGTCCGGTTGCTGGGGTGGGGGGCGTGTGTCAGGCGGGGATGGAGGACCCGGGACACCAGGGAGGGAGGAGGTACAGGGCAGGGGGCTTGAGGGTTAGTACAGCCTCGCTGTGTGCGCACCCCAGGGCCCTGACCGGCCCTGCTGCTGGCCACCGGCCCCCAGGCGGGAAAGATGCCGAGCAGGGGGCGGGGAGCCACACTGTTAAAAAGCATCCCTGTGCCCACTGTGTCCTAGCGCTGCCGTGTATTCTTTAGGGAGGCAGGTGCACCCCATAAAACGTGGCCGCCCAGACCAGGCGCCTGGGGCACCAGTTCTAGTGGGGTCCTTCTAGAATGTCTAGCTCCTCACGTGCAGGCACACCACAGCTCGTTGTTTCTAGGGACTCTTGCGCAGCTGAGATGCCGCCGTGACCCTCCTGGAGGCTGAGATGGCGGTGCTAGTCTGTTTAAGTTAAGCAGACCTGCGGTGCCTGGCCCACCCACGATGGGTCCCCTGCCTCTGCACGCTCGGTAGCTGCAGTGCGCGCCCCTTCGTGTCCCCAGGTGGACCCTGCCGCTCTTTGCCCTCGCTCATCTGTGGCGGCTCTGCAGTGAAGCCAGCCTTGCCTGGGCACGTTCCTTCAGGGTCTGCACTCAGCTGAGGAACCATGGGAGGGAAGTGTAGAGGGAGTGAGGACTCCTGGGCTGTGGTCCAGTCTGTGCAGGTGGGGGGGGAGGCAGATGGGTGGGGGGAGGCAGGTTGGGAAGGTCGTGCCAAGGTTGGTGGAGCGGGTCAGGAGTAGGCTGCTGTCAGGGGTGGACAGGCTGCTGTCTGGTGAAAGAGACTCACTTTGCCTCTAGGATGTTTGGCTTGTTTGTGCTGTGGACTTTGGGCATTTAGGCACAGGTTGGGGAAGAGACCGGTTCTCACTGGTGCACCCCTGCTTTGAGGGCAAGCCCCCCTGTGAGCCATACATACAGGAGCATGCCCTGTTCCTTTCTCTTACAATCTGTACAAGCACACAGTTCCAGGGAGGGATTCACAGGACACAGATCAGCACAGTTTTTTTTTCACACATGGATCCAATGGGGCTCACACATGGACACACAGATTTACACACAGGACCATGGGGCTCACACACGGAGGCACAGATTTACACACAGGACCATGGTCTCACACACAGACGCACAGATTTACACACAGGACCATGGGGCTCACACACGGAGGCACAGATTTACACACAGGACCATGGGGCTCACACACAGACGCACAGATTTACACACAGGACCATGGGGCTCACACATGGACACACAGATTTACACACAGGACCATGGGGCTCACACACAGACGCACAGATTTACACACAGGACCATGGTCTCACACACAGACGCACAGATTTACACACAGGACCATGGGGCTCACACATGTATGCACAGATTTACACACAGGACCATGGGGCTCACACACGGAGGCACAGATTTACACACAGGACCATGGGGCTCACACACGGATGCACAGATTTACACACAGGACCATGGGGCTCACACACGGATGCACAGATTTACACACAGGACCATGGGGCTCACACATGTATGCACAGATTTACACACAGGACCATGGGGCTCACACACGGAGGCACAGATTTACACACAGGACCATGGGGCTCACACACGGATGCACAGATTTACACACAGGACCATGGGGCTCACACACGGATGCACAGATTTACACACAGGACCATGGGGCTCACACATGTATGCACAGATTTACACACAGGACAATGGGGTTCACACACGGATGCACAGATTTACACACAGGACCATGGGGCTCACACATGTATGCACAGATTTACACACAGGACAATGGGGTTCACACACGGATGCACAGATTTACACACAGGACCATGGGGCTCACACGTGTATGCACAGATTTACACATAGGACCATGGGGCTCACACACGGATGCACAGATTTACACAGGACCATGGGGCTCACACACGGATGCACAGATTTACACACAGGACCATGGGGCTCACACATGTATGCACAGATTTACACACAGGACAATGGGGCTCACACACGGATGCACAGATTTACACACAGGACCATGGGGTTCACACACAGATGCACAGATTTACACACAGGACCATGGGGCTCACACATGTATGCACAGATTTACACACAGGACCATGGGGCTCACACACGGATGCACAGATTTACACACAGGACCATGGGGCTCACACACGGATGCACAGATTTACACACAGGACCATGGGGCTCACACACGGATGCACAGATTTACACACAGGACCATGGGGGCTCACTCAAGCACACAGCTGCACACGTGGATCCTAGTGGCTCACATGTGTACAGCACACGGTTCAATGCGTGCATCTGAGGGTTTCATGTCTATGCACATGTGATTCCCCATGGGCGCCCGTGGAGTGCTCTCAGACTGCCCCTGCTGTCTAGTTCCGTGTCCTACCGGTGTTACTGTCTTTTTGTCCTTCTTCTACAGTGACAATGCGCCTGAAAAAGGGAACAAGAGCCCCTCACCGCCTCCAGATGGCTCCCCCGCTGCTACCCCTGAGATCAGAGTGAATCACGAGTCAGAGCCGGCCAGTGGGGCCTCACCTGGGGCCTCCATCCCCAAGTCCCCATCCCAGGTAGGTTGTCTTCATGACCTGCCTTTTTGTTTTTCCTTATCTTACTCTGCTTTTATCTCCTCCCCTTCCTCCATCATCCCCTGCCTGGGGCCTACCAGGTTTTGAACCTGAGGCTGTGCTCCACGGAGGAGGACTCAGTCTGCATGGGCTACACTGAACCTACACTTTCTAGGCGGCCCTGGTCTACTTGACGGTGGTATTTGCAAACATTCCCATGCATAGAAGCGAGCACTTTCCCCTTTCCCATCTCCCTGTTTCCTTGACTCCCCAGATAGTTGCTCTGGGTTTTCAGTCCCCGAGTATCCAGTCTCTCTTCGGACTCAGAGACTGAGAGAAGAACTCCATCAGATGGTCTCACAGGACCGTCAAAGGAACAGAGAGATAATGGGCTCAGTGAGGAAAGGCAGGGGGCCGGGGGACGGCAGAGGGGGCAGATTCATGACCTCAGTCACCTCCATCCTGTCTATCCTGTTTCATCAAGCCCTCCGAGTCCCTGCAGAAGTCCTGGGAGATAGCAGCTGGGTGGGATTGAATGACTGAGCCCTCGTGTTTCCGTTCATGGGAAATTAGGACCATGGTGCCAAGAGTGGCTGTAAGAGCTCATCACCTGACCGGTGTACTGCCGTTGGTGAGGCTGGGTCCCAGGCCAGCACTGGCCACACTCCTATTCCCTGGGTCTTTTTCATTCCCCTGGGCAAGTGGGTAGAGGCCAGGATCCGAGCAATCCTTTACCAGGTCTACACACATGTGTGTGGTCCTTGTGGGAACCTAGTTCAGGCTGGCTTCCCGTAGGGATAGCCTGAGCCTCTTGGGCAGTCCCAGCCTAGGGAAGTGGAGGTAAGGTCTGTGGGAGGGCAGCAGCAGGCAGGGGAGGTGGCCTTTAACTCCAAGCTCCCTCCTAGGTTGGTAGGTAGGACAGACCCAGTGTGCCATGGGGACAAGTCAGGGGTTGAGACCGGATGGGCCACTTGCTTTGCCTCTGTTTACCCCCCTTCGCTTCTGTCTCCTCCTCCCTCCCTCTCCTTCCTTTCCGCACGGTGGGTTTGGGACCTTCATTCTCGGCTTCTTCTCTTGGGATAGCCTGTGACCTTGGTGTCTGTTTGGGGAGCAGTGACTCGTCTGTCCCCCTCCTCAGCAGCCTGCGAGCGACTGACTAACGTAACCGTGGCTTTGTCTCTGTCTTCTTGGGCCGCGCTCTGCCATGCCCTCCCGCGCCTCCCCGCTTGCTGGCCCACAGCTCCGGAAAGGCCCACCTGTCCCTCCGCCTCCCAAACACACCCCGTCCAAGGAGATGAAGCAGGAGCAGATTCTCAGCCTCTTTGATGACGCGTTTGTCCCTGAGATCAGCGTGACCACCCCCTCCCAGGTCAGCCGTGTCCACCGCGGCCCAGTCTTCTCCCCTTGACCCTCTCCCTCTCTCTCTCTTCTCTCTCTAGCGTGCATGGCCTTCCATTCTCCACCCTGAACGCTCAGCTTCTCTCAAGAGCTGGAGAGATGAGCTGGGGGCCTCCATCTTTGGTCCATCCATCCCCCCCCCATCATTCTTCCGTCATCGTCCATCCTGCCATTCCCAGCATGCACCGTTACTAGAAAAGGGACGGGATAGTGACGCGTCTCCCCTGTCTCTCATGGTGGTGGCCAGCTTGGCAGTCACCTCATAGTGACCCACGCTACCATGGGGGCGTGGAGTGGTTGGGCAGCCGTGGGACCTTCCCTGGTGCAGACGGCGTTTGCCTGGGAAGGATTCACAGACGTTGCTTTAGAGATACCAGAGCCAGGTCAGAAGGGACAAGAGACTCACTAAGTGGAGCAGGTGGCTGGCGCAGGTGGGAACCGGGCAGAGCCCTCTCGGATACTGTAGTGACCACGGGGCAGAGACTTATCTGCGAGGGCTGCTGTTTGTGTCATGAAATGCCCGCCCTCAGATGGAGACAAAAGAGAGAGGTGCCTCGTGCGGCGGGAAAGTCATCTTGTTAGGACTGGAGCGGCTGACACACAGTCACACCAGCCTGGAGTGATCAGCTCGTTGCTTCAAGCTGGCCTCACGCCTCCTAGCCTCCCACCCCAGGCAGGGCTGGTCTAGACCCTGGGGAACCTGGCCAGAGCCCTTCCCAGGTGTCTCTAGGCAATACCTTCCCCAGGTATCTGGAGAAGGGGCACAGGGTCTGAGGGCGTGAACTTGGAATGGAGAGCAGTGGCCGCCGCAATAGGAACCTAGAGAATGCGGGCCTGCAGCTCCCATGCAAGGACTGCCGGGTGGAACCAAAGCCCCTTTATGCCAGCAGAGGCAGGCGGGAGTAGGCTGTGTGGGAATGGGCTGGAAGTTTCCAGGCTAGCTTGTTGTAGGCCCTTCCCTTCCCGAGCACGCCTGTGTCTTCAGGGCACCTGGGCAGGTGACTGGCGAGTGTTTAAGATGCGAGCGTGCGACATCAGGAGGGCTAGCAGATGCTGAGCGGAGATGGCGTGGATGCTTACTCGTATTGCCTTATTTGGTTTTCAAACGCCCCGTGCGAGGGGACATACCCCATTTGCCTGCCGAGGGACCCGATGTACAACTCATCCTGTGGCCATGTGTCAGAGGGAGCCAGAGAACGGCCCGCGGGCTCCACGTGTGCCTGCCCCCCCCCCATGTCATCGCATGACTTGCTTGTTGCTGCTTCTTATGTCCTTCTGTCTGCGGGGACCATCCGTCTGTCACGGGGTGGAAGAGCCCTCTGGGTGGTGTCGCATGCCTGGGGGTGGGCTCACGCTGTCCGCAGTGCCGGTGTCCCCCGGCTGCTTGGTGTGACGTGGGAAGCAGCCTGCGTCCGTTCAGGGTCTTGGTCTTGTGTGGGGAAGAGCCATTTGCCACACAGGCAGGGCTGAGAGAAGACGGGAAACACTCTGACTGAGGCCTCCCCCGAGAGCGCTCCGGGGGAGCTGTCTGGGCTGGGGTGGCTTCTAAGAGAACTGTGGGAGAGCTGAGGTTGGTGGCCGTGTGACAGAGGTGCCTGTGTCATGTCAGGTGGGAGGCGTCTCAAAGTCCCGAGGCCACGGAGCCTGTAGCCCGGCTTTCAGGCAAGGCCGGGCTAGTAGGCTGAGGGTCAACCGGAAGCTACTCGTTCTGGGAAGTGGGGTCCACTTGGCCTGGTCCAACTGAAAGGGACCCCAGATTCCCGTGCTGCATGGGCTCGTAGTGTCCTCTGAAGAGCTGCGGGCCACACCACAGAGTTGGCTGGGATGGGCAGGGGTCTGGGGCACTCTCTGTGTGAGTTGGGCTCCCGTGGGCAGCACGGGGGGTTTAAGAAGTGACTGACCCTGACCTCGCAGGGTTATAGCCCCTCTGCCGTCTCCCAAGCGCTGGGGAGCGAGCGGGCTGAGCTGTTTCTGCGTGGGCCTGGGGCGGAGTCTGCCACAGCCCTGAGGAGGAAGCCTACGGGCTAAACAGGATGGCAGCTTCTTCAAGGCAGCCATGTCAGCCCCTCCCCAGGGAGCTGGTGTTGCTCAGCGCCTGCCCGGCCTGGGAAGCCTGTCCTGGCCAGCTACGGCCCACTCGTTCGAGGGTCTCTCCCTCATGGGGCTGGAGAGAGATACCTCCCGTGATGTGCTAGTCTGGGGTACATCGTTGGGGAAGTACTATCTCCATGTATGCCTCTGGGCCGCAGCCAGGTTCCCCAAAAGGGGCTCTGGAGGTGTCTGTGGGTGTCGTCTACAGCTGTAATGCGGGGACCCCAAGCTCCCTGACACTGGGACCCCACGCTGAAGACACTGTTGGGGCGGGTATTGCTGCTGCTAAGTCTTTCCCCTAGAGCTGGGTGGCAGGTTGCGGTGTCCCAGTAGGTGGCATGGCGGGGTGACAGTGTGTGTTAGGTGTTCAGGCATCTGCACTGGCCTATCCATGGGGTTCTGACAGGGTTTCTCAGTAGCTTTGGAGGCTGTCTTGGAACTCCTTCACTACACCAGGCTGGCCTGAACTCAGAGATACACTTGCAGTACAGACACCTGAATAGTGATAGTGTGAGGCCTCTGACGGGGGGGGGGGGCTCTTGGTGGGTGAGCCCAGCTCAGGGTCTTGTGATGCTCTTGACGCTCAGGGGCAAAGCCAGGTGAGTTTGTGGGGACAAAGGGCAGAGAAGGAGTGGAGTGGTCTGATTGTGGCGAACGGAAAAAAACTGGCCAGTTGTTGGATGTCCTAGTCGGGATCGGGTGTCTTCACGTAGGTCAGAGCCTGTACTAGTTTGGGTAGCTGTGGACAGCACTTTTACGTGTGCGTGCGTGCGTGTGTGTGTGTGTGTGTGTGTGTGTGTGTGTGTGTGTGTGTGTGTGTGTGTGTGAACCTGCTTTCCTCTGTGTGCAACAAGGCCTGGGCTCAGTCCGTCACTAACTGCTTTCTCCTCTGCCGCTGCTGTCACCAAGTTTGAGGCCCCCGGGCCTTTCTCAGAGCAGGCCAGTCTGCTGGACCTGGACTTCGACCCGCTGCCGCCAGTGGCAAGCCCTGTGAAGGCACCCACACCCTCTGGTCAGGTTGGTTGTGTCCGCCAGTGCCCACGGCCCGTCAGCCTCAGGGCCAGGCCTTGTGCTTGTGTGGGAGCCGCATAGACTCAGGGCTCCGAGGGTGCGGGGACGGCGTCCTAGCCCTTATCCCTCTTACTTCCTTTGGATGTGGGCCAGCTGCGTCCCTTTCGCTCAGGACTGTCCCCCACGCCTCCGGTCACTCCAGCATCCTGCCCCTCTGTTAGCCACGCTGCGGGCCTCCCTGAAGCCCCCGGTGCCCAACTTGGCGCCTGCTGGGTTGGGGCGTGGATGGGGTCCCCGGCTGTGCTTGCTACCCTGTCTCTAACCACTGTACTAACTGTCCTTTTCCCCATTGCTGCCGCACTCAGCCAATCCCGTGGGATCTCTGGGAGGTAAGCCACACCCCTGGGGACTGCTTCTCTGTGTAAAGACCCACGCACCCCTCGCGGTCTGCATATGACACACTTGCTTTCCCATGCCCCTATGCACGGGGGCCACCGACCATACGCCCCTTTACTCCAGTCACAGGAATGGGCTCCTGGGCGGTTCAAGAGACCGGGTGCTACGTTGGCTTTGGTTAGATTTCAGGTCTGGTGTTTACCTTGACACATGCTTGCCAGCAGGTCATCTAGAAGAGTCAAGGAGTCATGATTACAAGGCCGTGGTAGAAAGCTGTTTGTTTTTCTGGGGACCCACCCCCGGGAGCCCTGGGCATGGGGATGCAGAGACTCGGAGAGACTCACGCTTGGAATTGATCATAATAAAAGCTGGGTTCCAGACACGATCTGGCAAAGGCCAGTCAGTGTGGCAGGTACTGTTGGGTCACACAGCAGGCAGGACTCCCGGGGCCCAAAAGTTTCCGTAAAAGCGTCATGCTGTAAAGTGCTAGCCCAGTTTGACTGTCTGGAGAGATGGCTCAGTGGTTAAGAGCGCTCGCTGCTCTTGCTGGGCTCTGGTCCCGGTACCCACACTGTCAATAATTTCAGTCCCGGGGATCTGATGCCTCCTAGGCTCTGCAGGCCTTTGCACACATGCGGTACATACACACCTCTGTGGGCACACACGGACATGTAGGTAAAAACAATGAATAAATCTTTTAAAGAGATGCCAGGGGCTGGAGAGATACCAGAGGTTATCTGACTGCTCTTCCAGAGGACCTGAGTTCAATTCCCAGCAACCATCCGTAATGAGATCTGGCGCCGTCTTCTGGCGTGCAGGCACATAGGTAGACAGAACACTGTATATGTAATAAAAATAAGTAAATAAACTAAAAATATAAAAAGATACCAGGTGTGGTCGATCAAGCTTGTGACCCCAGCACTGGGAGGCAGAAATCCGGGCATCACTGGATATGGCTGGCCAGCCAGCCTAGCTGAAATAGACGGTGAGCTCAAGCTTTAGTGAGAGACCCTGTCTCAAAAACAAAATCAAAAACAAGTATATAGTGACCGGAGAGGTGTAAGAGCTGGACCTCTGGCCTCCACACATAAGATCATGTATGTCACATATGTGCACACACACACACACACACACACACACACACACGCGCGCGCGCGCGCCTTTCTGTAAAAAGGCTGGCGTGGGCTGGCAGGGCTGTTTTGGCCGTTTTGGCAGCTGCTATGCCGTGTGGTAGCATTGCACGTGCACCACGCTTTCATCGAGGCTGGGCCAGAGCCGAGGGAGGCCGTTGACCCCACGGAACCGACCAGGCTGCTACCCCAGACCACATCCCTTGTTAATGCTGGCCACTCAAGATCGCCCTCTCTTGTCTCCTGCCCTTGTCCGGTATGCCTCCCCCCCCTCCCGCCTTCTCGCTCTTCCCCATCCTGGCCGCTTGGCACTAGTCCACAGAGAGTCAAGCTGGCATCCTGCCTTCCGGGGAGCCCAGTTCTGCTGAGGGCGCCTTTGCTGTGGCCTGGCCCAGCCAGACGGCCGAGCCAGGGCCTGCCCAAGTAAGTGTCCCCTTGTTCCCCTCTCTGGGGTGTAGTGTAGACCAGGAACCAGAGGAAACACACAGTGTGGACCCTCTCCTACTCTCTTACCTCAGAGCAACCCTTCAGAGTGGGAAGAGAGGGGCGTTTCAGAGGACGTAATGTTCTATGTAGGCATTTCCCAGAGCTTTTTTTCTGGCCTGACTTTGTCGTAACCTTCTGCGCTGCATTTGAGGAGGTGGCCGGCAGACAGGTTGCATCACTGGGTTCCCGTGCTCAGAAGTGACCGAGTCTGAGTGTTGGTGGAGGTTAGCCCATGGTGGAGCCTTCGTCGTGGTCTACCGTAGTGCCCAGGCTCTGATGCTGTGCCTTAGAGATGGACTGGAAAAGACCGCCTGTTTCCTAAGCGCCTTGCTGGGTCCAGGCCATCCAGCCGGCTTTGGCTAACCCGTGAGGGGCCGCGTGGCTGGCGGAGTGGGCAGGGAGAAGCTGGGGTTTTAGAGGCAGAGGTGGGGGCAGCGTTCGCGGTGGTAATGCCACTCACACACTTGTCACCCTGTGTCAGCCAGCGTTTTCCCTCCGGTGCCTCCTGTCCAGGGGTCAGCCTGCCCTGCAGGATGCTCCGAGATTGTGTGAGACACAGTTCTAGGTCATCCGGGCCAGCACCTGTGGCTCGCTCGCACGCTGCCCTCCTGTGGCGCGCCATGGGCGTGGCACCCTGCTCCTTGTCTGATCCCTTGCTGGCGTTTTATGTTGCAGCCGGCAGAGGCCTCCGAGGTGGTGGGTGGAGCCCAGGAGCCCGGGGAGACAGCGGCCAGTGAAGCAGCCTCCGTAAGATGGCAGGGACCATGCCCTGTTTTTTTTTTTCCTCCCCCATTGTCTGTCTGTCCGGTGCTGTCTGTCTTCTGCCTGTCCACAGCTTCCCCGTCTTCCCCGTACCCCGTCACCCATGCTGGTGCGGGCCACAGTTCCCCGGAGGAGCGCAGGGCAGGGTAGTTTGGTACCGGACGTGAACTCTCCCCTTCCCTCCTTGTGGCCCCGGCTCCCCCCCCCCCCCGGCCCCCGCCGTGGGTGTGTGACCGACTTGCCTCCTGTCCCCAGAGCTCTCTGCCGGCCGTGGTGGTGGAGACCTTCTCAGCAACCGTGAACGGTGCCGTGGAGGGCAGCGGTGGGACTGGGCGCTTGGACATGCCCCCGGGCTTCATGTTCAAGGTGAGCTCAAGCCAGCTAACCCTGGTGCCTTTGTCCCGGGTGCCGCAGGAGCCGGGGTTGCCCTTGCTTACACGCTCGCTCTTAAGGCTGCTGCGCAGAGGGGCGTAAGGGAAGGCCTCCGTCTTTTCTGGGCTGGAATCGGGGTGTCCCCCTGACACGCTCTCCCCTAACTTCTGCAGGTGCAAGCCCAGCACGATTATACGGCCACTGACACGGACGAGCTTCAGCTCAAGGCTGGCGATGTGGTGCTGGTGATCCCCTTCCAGAACCCAGAGGAGCAGGTGAGCCTAGTGGTGGTCTGTGGGGGGGCGGGGGGGGGGGAGTTCCAGGGCTGCTGCCGCTGCTGCAATGGTGCGTATGGACAGTAGGGGGCAGCAGAGGCCCCCTAAGCAGGGCAAGGCTAGGTTGCGATTATCCACGCCTGCCTTTGCTTTCACCGTGTTTATTTATTATATACTTCTCCCTGCCCCCCCCCCCGTCTTTCCCTCCCATTGGCCCCCTCCGTCCGTCTGCGCCTCTCTTTTTATGTCCTGTTGTATTGCACTTCCTTTCTGCCAGCTGCCCCGCAAACTTTCTACATCTGAGTTCCTTCCTTGTCTTTGCGGTGCTCCCGGTCCCAAGGCTCCTACAGGGTTCCTGCCGCTCCTGGTCCTGGGGCTCCTATGGGGTTCCTGCCTGCAGTGAGGGAGCGCCAGGCCCTCATCAGTCTTCTGGGCTGTGCTCTTAGCTATTCCCTCTAGACATCTCTTACTGCCGCGGCCTCCTTACGCTACTTAACTTCGGGAGGCAGCCCCTAATGAACCTGGGCTACGCCTGTGTCCCTCCTAGCTTGTGGCTGACTCCTCTGCCTCACGGCTGGTGTAATTTGCCTCCGTGGGGTGCTGGTGGCACCCATGCAGACGCCGAACACCTTGGCTGGCTCTTGGCCTAAGTTAGGTGTGGGCTGAGCCGCAGGGAGTAGTACCCAGGCTTGAATCTACTGCAGCCGCAGCTGTGCGTGTGTGTGCGTGCACGTGTGCATGTGCGTGTGTGCGTGTGCACGAGCTCACAGGCCAGAAGAGAACCTGCTTGTCCCCCAGGAGCCGTCTACCTTGTGTCTTTGAGATAGGACCAGCCCGTCTCTCCTTCAGAGCTGGGATTTCAATACATTCCCCCTGCTTCTGTCTTTTCCCCTTGGTTATGGGGTTTGAACTCAGATCCTTATGTTCTAACTGAGCCATTTCTCTAGCCCCATCTGCTGCTGCTTCTGAAGTCCTAGGTCTCTGTCTCTGTCTCTCTCTATGTCTGTCTGTCTGTGGGCCACTTCCATGGATCTTTCCTGGCCGAGTGGGATATTTAAACCCTGGCCTCCAGCCAGCAGGGGGCAGTGTGTGGGTACTAGAGGTGTTGACAAAGGTTGTATATGGAGTCAGTAAAATGTGGAGATCCATAACAACGCGGACAATGATAGAACAAAATTGTAAAGACCTAGGGAGTTGCCAGGCATGACTCAGTTTTGGGACAGTCACTGTAACTTCGGCAGGAAGGTCTTACAGAGAAAACCCCCGTTCTGGTTAGTGTTGAAAGAAAAAGCAAGTTGGACTTGAATGGCTTAATTGAATGGGTCTGGGGCCGCGAGCAGGCGTGTTGGACCTGTAGCCTGTGGACCACACGTGTCCTGGGATAGCTGTGAATGCAACCCGACCTAAAACAGACAAACCTGTTTAAAACATTTTGTTTCGTTCTGAGACAAGGTCTCACGTGTCTGGGGCTGGCCCGGAACTTGCCACGAAGCTGAGAATGCTCTTAAGGTTGGGATCTTCCTGCCTCCAGAGACCTGGGAGTGCTGACGTGCAGCACCGTGCCTGGTGTGTGGGGTCAGGGATGGGCCTGGTGCACGCCAGGCAGGCACGCCACCGACTCACCACATCCCGATCCCCGACAGTACGGGGATTTTTGTTCCTTTATGCTTTCAACTCCAGCATGAACTTTGCGACAGTAGCTGTCACAGTCTCTAAAAGTTGTACATGTCTGCCAGAGACTTTACATTTTTATTACATTATTTATTTGTAGGTGTGTGTGTGTCTGTGTGTGAGTGTGTGTGAGTGTGTGTGTGAGTGTGTGTGTCTGTGTGTGAGTGTGTATCTGTGTGTGAGTGTATGTGTGTCTGTATGTGTGTGAGTGTATGTCTGTGTGTGAGTGTGTATGTGTCTGTGTTCGTCTGTGTGAGTCTGTGTCTGTGTGTGTGTGTGTGTGAGTGTGTGTGTGTGTGTGTGTGTGTGTGTGTGTGTGTGTGATATGATCCATGAGTGGAGGTCAGAGAACAATTTACAGGAGTCTTTCTTCTCTCCTTCCACCAGGTAGGGTTTGGGGATTGAACTCAGGTTGTTAGGCTTGGCAGCAAGCACCTTTACCCGTGGAGCCCTCTCACTCCCCTCCTGTGTTTCTTTTTCAGTGCCGGGGGGTCACATTGCATCAAGGGCCACGTATGCGCCCTGCCCCGCGCTACTCCCCAGCCCACTTTTTAAATTTGGGCCAGGAGCTCACTAAATTGTTCCAAGATGACCTTGAATTCACTCTGTAGTCCAGCTGACCTTGAACTTGCAATCTTCCTTTTTCAGCCCCCGGATCTGACTAGAAGCTTTTAACTGCTAGTACTTCCAGAACTTTCTGGCTGTTTATAGACATCTGGGGACTTGGGAGGACAGTTGGGGTTTTCTTGGAAGTTGTTTGAGTTTGGGAAAGCCTGTTGCAGAGAGACACACAGGAGTTGACAGAGCCATGGGTTCTGAAGGGAGTTTCAGTGGGGGGGGGGGGAGGGGGAAGGGAAGGGAGGAGGAGAGGAGAGAGGAGAGGATCTAACGATCGCAACTAGACTGTGAGATACTATGTCAGCTTGTGTTTCTGGCTGAGGCGGTGTTACCTGTCCCAAGGCCTGGGTAAGGACTGTCTGGAAGAACAGTGGTGTAGTTAGCGTGTGACGGCTATCATTTGTCGTGGCCTGTGGCCCTTCTTCATTTAGGATCCCTCCCCAGAGCAGGTGAGCGGCCTGGCTGGAGTACTAGCTATGCGAGGAGACAGGTGCCTGCCTGGCCCTCTGCATTCGAAGGGTCTGGATTCTAGGAGGGTGCGTCTGCACCTAGCACACGGTTACGGGTTGGTACTGAGGACATAGCTGGGGCTTAGACCAGTGCAGAGTCCAGGCACAGAGGAATCAGATAGCGGGCAGGCAGGCTGGCCCCTCCCCGGTCTGCTTGGGTCTCTGTCCTGGCGGGTGTTGTGATGTGCGCCCTCGTTACCCATGCTCTCTCGGCCGCAGGATGAAGGCTGGCTCATGGGAGTGAAGGAGAGTGACTGGAACCAGCACAAAGAACTGGAGAAATGCCGGGGCGTCTTCCCGGAGAATTTCACGGAGCGGGTGCAGTGACGGACGGACGGACAGATGGCCGAGCCCCCGCAGCCTTCCGGTGTGTGAAGAACACCTTTCCCCAAAAGATGTGTGCTTTTCCTTTTCTTTGTTTTTCTTCCTCTTTTCTGTTTTTGTTTTGAAACTCTTGAAAAGTGTCGGGGAGTCGGGGAGTGGAGAACTAAGCCAAGAGTCTTTCCCCAGAGATGAGGTGGGTTTCCAAAGAGCCGTCCGGCCCAGTTCAGTGGACTCCTCCAGTGTTCCCGAAGCTGCCGTGTCCCTCTAGTTGAGTTCCTGGTGCCCGCATGTTCAGGGCGGGCCTGGGGCGCAGAGCCACCGCCGCGCTTGCCTGATGCTTGGCCGTGCCACCCGGCAGGGCTTGGGTCCTCTTCTGGCAGCTGCCGTGGGTGGGGCCTGCGCACTGGCCCAGCCTGGTCCCGCTCTGCAGACCACCTGTGTGCTGTTTGAAAATAAGCCCTAGTGTTCAAAATGCAGCGAAACAACAGAAACCTGACAAAAAACCACCAGGAACGGTGCACGCGTCTTTCTTCATCTCTGTTGTGTGAGTGGGACCCGGGCCAACTGAGGCCTTTGTATTGGTGGTGTCCCTGAGGTGGGAGACTCTGCACGGATGCCACCTCCCCTGGACTCAGGGCACACTGGGGTTTCCACTGGTGGTGTGTTAGAGGCCAAGTGATGGAATCCCCTGGAAACTGCCCTGTGTGGCCCTATTTAATGCACTTTGTCATTTAGGGGGTGGGCAGATGGGTACCCCTGGAAACTGCCCTGGGTGGCCCTATTTAATGCACTTTGTCATTTAGGGGGTGGGCAGATGGGTACCCCTGGAAACTGCCCTGGGTGGCCCTATTTAATGCACTTTGTCATTTAGGGGGTGGGCAGATGGGTACCAGGACAGCGCACAGTGATGACAGTGCTGAGGCCCACAGAGAGGGTGGCCCCTGTAACGGGACCTCAGACCCCGTGAGAGCCTGAGTTCAGCCGGGGAAGGGCCAGGGTAGAGGGTGAACCAGCTGTGTAGTTGCTCCTCTCTGCCCTCTCCCCATGGCCCCTCTGGAGACAGCGTTGACGTTTGCCTCACAAACAGCTGGAGAAGTACAGTATCCAGGACTATAGAAACAGCCTGGCCTTCAGAGAAGGCCAACTAGGGTTGAGAATGAAGTCCCTGCGCCTTGCTATAGGTCACAGGGCTGCCTTGCCCTGGGCCCCAACTTGCGTCTTCTTTAGGTAGGCAGTGGTGCCAGCCGTAGCCTGTGGACTAACACCCCAGGATGGCTGTGAGGGTGGCCTGATAGAAAACTATAAACTTATTTAAAATTATAAGATTTATTTTTGGGGGGGGTTTAACTTTTTGGTAATTCGATTCATGGCTTTTGGGTGAGAACTTCATAGAAGACATCTTTCTTGTCCCGGTGTCAGAAGGTTGGACACACCTGTAGAACACATTCATTTCTAGTCACCTGCCTAGGAAGCTATAGCTTTCCCGTCGTTCCTTTCCATGATGTCCTTTCCCTTGGGGGGTTTGGGTTTGGAGCATAGACCCGAGCCTAGGATACAAGTGCCTTCCGCTGTTATGGGGGTACACAGCCAGGGTCTTCAGTGTGGAAGATTTTAAGACATTTCCACTAGAAACATATCAGCTATAACGTATTTGTATGAGGCTTTACTATTTTGAGATTCAGAGATATGTCATGAGGGCTTCTTGTCCATGCCCCCCCCAACACCCTCTAATCCCACCGTCCTTCTGGGGGACGACGACAAGATCTATTTTATAGCCCAGGCTGGTTATGATTCTCCTGCCGCAGCCTTCTGGTCCTGGAACTACAGGCCTGTCCCACTCTACCTGGTGGTGGCCGTGTACCTAGGAGCTGGGTGTCATTAGCTCCTGGCTGGGGAAGCCAGAGCCAGGCAGCCTGTATTGGTGACTTGTCTCGTTTCTGCAACTAAACACTCGATAAAAATAAGGTCAGGAGGAAGGTTGTACTCCAGCTTACAGCTCCAGGGGCTGCAGTCTGTCGTGGCAGCATAGTGGCAAGAGCAGGAAGTGTCTGGTCACATGATGTCCCCCGTCAGGGCGCTGAGCAAGGTGGACGCTGTGCTCAGCTCGCCTTCTCTTTATTCACCCCGGGGGCCTCAGCCCGTGGAAGGGTGGCGCCACCCAGACGTGAGTCTTCACACCCAGTTAACCTGGGCTACAAGAATGGGCCGAAGACTCAACTTAAAACCTGGGGTGCTGCCGGGCAGTGGTGACACACACCTTTTAATCTCAGCACTCGGGAGGGAGAGGCTGCAGGACCTCTGTGAGTTTGGTCTATAGAGCGAGTTCTGGGACAGCCAGGGCTACGCCAAGAAACCCTGTCTTGAAAGCCAAAGGTGTGGGGGGGGGGGCAAAAATGAGAAAATAAAAAACAACAAACAAAAAAAGCCCTGGGATGCTGAAACCTCTAGAGGAAAATACAGGAAGCATTTCGAGATTCCGTGGCAGCAAGAAACGGGGCTGCTGAAACCGGAACTTTTCTGCTTAAGGGGCTGGGGGAGGGGACAGCTCTGTGGTTGAGAGCCCTTCCCAGTCTTTCAGAGGAACTGAGTTCCGTGCCTACCACACATAAGGATGCTCAAACAGCCCATGGTGCCAGCCTCTGTCTACACACACACACACACACACACACACACACACACACACACACACACTAAAATCAAAGCGTTTTAAAAGTTTCTGCTCTGCAAGGGGAACTATCAGCAGAATAAATAGTCTATAGACTATGAACCTCAGATGGGGGGTGTAGAGAATTGTAAAGTTAAATACCAAAAACAAAAAACCAAACACAAAACAACCCAAGTTGCTGAGGGGTGGGGAAAAAAAGGCTAATGACTTCCTAAAAACAAACAAACAAACAAAAAAAAACAAAAAACAAAACAGAAATGGCCAGTAAGTATTTTTGCCGCCTCCGCTGATGCTAGCTGACCCCTGACCTCCACCGTGCGTGCATGCTGTGGCTCACGTCCCTCCGCCCTCAGACAGAAGATAGATGAACGTTTGGGAAAGAGATGCCATGCCTTCCCGGCTAGGATCGAGAAAACGAAAGACCCCACAGGCTGGTGAGACGCGGTGAGAGCCGTTCACCGTGGTGCCCGTGGAACCTGGCTTGGCCGTTCTAGAGGCCAGCGGGGGAGCTTTCCTAAAACAAAGACAACTGGGCGGTGGTGGCAAGCGCCCTTAATCCCAGTATGCGTGCACATCCACGCCTGCTGTTGGATTATTTATTATTATTATTATTATTATTTTGGTTTTTACGAGACAGGGTTTCTCGGTATTGTCTTTGGAGACTGTCGGTCCAGCCCGTCCTCGAAGTCACAGAGATCTGCCTGACTCTGCCTCCCGAGTGCTGGGATTAAAGGCGTGCGCCACCACCGCCCGGCCTGATGTTGGATTATTTACAGCAGCTGGGGAACAGGAGTAGCCTGGGTGTTTTTCAGCAGAGAGACAAATGGAGTGTGGTGTACACACATAGCGAGGTTTTATTTAGCCGTAAAGGAGCATAAAGCAACGGGATACCCGGGGAGTAGGAGGGATCTGCAAAGCCTAGGAGCGAAACAAAAAGGAAACCGCACAGTTCCCTTCTGAGGAGAGGCGGGCTCACAGTGAGCTGAGGCTGATTAAAATCCATCCCCAGGGAGAAGCCTGCCTGTGCAGTGACAGGGCCTCTAGTGGGGCCACTCCCACGTAGCATCGGGAATTCTTTTTAAGATTATTTATTACATATACAGTGTTCTGCCAGAAGAGGGCACCAGATCGACTTGTAGATGTGGTTGCTGGGAATTGAACTCAGGACCTCTGGAAGAGCAGTCAGTGCCCTTAACCTCTGAGCCATCTCTCCAGCCCCAGAATCGGGAATTCCTGTTCCTTGGGCAGACGTAGTTTCTGATGAACCCGAGGAAAAGCAGCCTGCTTCTTTTGGACATCGTGAACGGTTGTCTAACTGGTGGAGCGCAGAAAGTGGCCGAGGTCTGTGAGCGTCACCAGCCAACATCGGGGTCCTCTGAGCCCCTCTGCCTGTGTGCAAGTGTTAGTGCGGCCCAGGCGCCTGCCTCTGTGGATGCCCCGATGGCAACTCTGCCACCAGGGGAGCGGGCACCGCAGTCGGTGGCGAACGCTGTCGGAAGACGACTACTTGGGAGGTGGCTGAGTGGGCACAGCCCTCGCCGCGTGATCGCGGGGACCAGAGTTCAGATCTCCAGCTGGGGTGTAACGCCAGCCCACCGCGGCAGCCCTGCCTCTCGTTGAAAGGTGGGGGAGGAGGAGTTCCAGGAAGCAGCTGGCTAGCCAGACTAGCCTGCGTTGTTGAGCTCTGGGCTTGCTTGCTCAAGCCCCTGTCTGACTGTTTGGGCTGACTATGGCTGTGATAAAACACCACCATGACCAAAGCAAGTTGGGAAGGAAAGGAATGTGTCTGGCTCACACTTCCACTGAAGGACGTCAGGACAGGAACGCAAACACGGCAGGAACCTGGAGGCAGGAGCTGATGCAGAGGCCACGGGGGTGTGTGGGGGTGGGGTGGGGGGTGGGGTTCTGCTTACTCAGTCTGCTGTCTTACAGAACCCAGAACCCACCCACAATGGGCTGGGCCCTCCCCATCAGTCACTAATTAAGGAAATGCCTTACGGGTCTGCCTCCAGCCTGATTCTACCAAGGCACTTTCTCATTTGAGGTTCTCTCCTCCAGGCTGACTTGGGCTTGTGTTAAGCTGACATAAAACTGTCCTGCCCGCTGCCTCAGCCAATAAGGTAGTGATCAATAAAGGAAGATTCTCGACTTAATCTTGGGTCTTTACATGTATGTATACAAGCATGCATGTTCACTGTACACATGGGCTCACACACACGTGTGAACGTGAACACATGCATATGCTAAACAAACAAATAAATAAATAAACAAATGGGCTCTTCTAAGACACAGAGAAGGGGCCCCTGCCTCTGGGACTTTGGGCAGGTGGTGGGCACTCTTACCATCTGTGAACTGTTAGGTGAAGTGTCTCGGCACTTCCTGTACAAGAGTGAGGATTTGAGTCCAGAAAACATGTGAAAACAAAAGCCAGGCACTGTGTACACCGGTAGTACCAGCACTGGATTCCTGGGGCTCGCTGGCCAGCCGGTTTAGTCCAGCCGGCGAGTTTCAAGTAAACGTGAAAGCCTTTGCTTCGGAGAAACAAGACAGCTAGGGCCCGGATAACAAAGTCGAGGGCTCTTCTGGCTTACACACACACACACACACACACACACACACACCCGAATGTGCACCTGGACACACCAACATGCACGCACATATATGGAAGATGTCAGTGTTAGGCTGGATTTCTTGAGTTCTATTTTAAGCATGCCTGATGCTCATTTTCCTGTAAACAAGCACAGATATTAAGGGACAGGGCAATTTGATTCCCGAATAGCAACCATCGGCCTCAGCACTCTGGCTGCCCTGAATAAAAGGAATGTCAGTCAAACAGCCAGC